AAAAGGTGAGAGTACCTTTAGGATTGGTCATCCCAAAAGCATGATTCATGGCTTCACTCTTTTGGGTAGTCATACCATAGCTTGTTTTTTGTTAAGCCTCGTACCCGATTCGTTTTTCCACAAGTTTCTTGAGAAGGAACTCGTCGGCATTGGACAACTTCTGCTTTCCCCTTACATGTACATAGCGTGGCATGTAAGGGAATTTATAATTGCCTTTACAAATTTGTGAACCTTTTCGGCATAGACTTTGATTCCCCGCATAGCATTTTGGGATGGCGTTTGAAACCTTAGCTGCACACTTTTTCATTTTCTCAACATTTCCGTTACATTTTTCGAGGATTGCACTGGCTTCAGCTTGTGCCCGATGACTTACATCATCACCAAAACGATTTTTCAGTTGTTGTTTTTGTCTCTCGGTTCTATATGCACATTGGGGGAACATAGTTGTTCTGAAATTGGCATTACTGACAGCAGAACATAAAGACCTATTCAAATGAGGACAGTCCAGTTGCTCCACATGGTCCGTGTTGGTTCTGGTCCTCATGTGGGATTTTAAACTTTTAAATGCCCATCTGCATCGGTGGTCACGCTGCTCACTAACAGGGACTCCTCACTTTGTAGCATTTTCGCAGCACATCTCAGTCCCCTTCCTTCTCGTCTCCCATGTTAAATTCGGGACGGCGTGTAGCTGTGCATCTTTTGTGTCCGGGGCACTTTGTTTTCTGCCCTTTTGCTCGCTGCATATCTCGACTCTTGCAGAGTTTGCTTTCGTGATGATACATGATCACGTACTTCGAGGAGTTGACATTTTCACAGACCGTGTCTCTGGTTTGTGTTGCTGGTACAAAGAGAGTTTGTTTCCGGGCATTTCTCAGTAGGTTGTTATACTGTCTGTCCATCTCAACAGCAACTGGACTCTCCCTCTCGAATCCCTGTAGCTCGTGGATGTCTTTCACAGTTCTCCTCTTTGCAGCCATGTCTTGCAGGTTCTCCCGAGTTATAATTTCACCGCATTTGTCTGCAATCTTTTGCAGTCCCCTACCTGAAGTAACAGTCGTGTCCATAGCTGCCAGGAGCCTTCTTGCACCTGCTGCTGCGATGCCAGTATTGTAGAGTCCAACCTGGAATGCCATGTTTGGAGTAGCAGTGCGTCGCCCAGGCCCCTTTTGAGGTATGTCGGTGTACAGTTTTTGTCTCTATGTCATGAATCCGCACTTTTTGCAGTGCATCACTTCCGAAACAGCCAAGCCTCTGCATTCTTCTGCCTCTGGCATGAGTTCTGGTTGGCTGTCACACCCGAGATGCAGTCTTTGGTGGTCAAGTGTAGCCTGTGCACCCAACTGCAGTGCTGAGCGTAAACTCACAAAGTGATATCCTCCTGATTGATTTGTTCCATCCCTGGACTGGAGCTGGTCGAGTGCAGTAATTTCTGCAGTTTTTGGTCGGAGCAACATCACATTTCTACTGGCCTCTGCTGTTGGTAGCGCCTGGCAGAAAAACCCTCTTTCGTCTCTGCAAACAGCTAGCTCAAGCTGCTCAAACGTTGGTCGAACATACCGAGGCTTTTCTGTCTCCGTTGCATCCTCACTAGCACAGTGCAAAGTGTTGGGTGACAATTCATGCTTCTGTTTGTACCAAGTTCTTTTCTTCTTAAAAATTCCCTGTCTGACTCGACCCATAGTGTCAGAGACAATATTAAACGTTGGCTCAGTGGTTTTCTTCGGGTCACTTGAAATGATTTTGTCTTGAAATGACTGATATCATGCTTTTATTAATTTTGCCCCATAGTGATAGGGTGTTTTGTTTAAATTGGTTTCCAAGTGGCCAAGAGTGATCTGAGTTTCCAAGTGAAGATCACCTGATACGTCACAAGTGTTTCTGTGTTTGTCTCCTTATAAGTATGCCATTTGGACAGGCTGTTGTTCCCCTGGGGGGCAATAGCCTGATTGTTTCTGTGTTGTCAGGGTCACATTTCAATAAGTGGATTCCTGCCCATTAATTTTTTTAAATATGTGCTATTCTGATCAGCTTGCAATTTTTATGAGGATCAATCAGAATGATTTGTCATCAAAATGCCCCCATTTCCCATTTCAAATCAGTCCTTTCTAAACATTATGAAGGCAAGCCCAAGGGCTCTTTTCTCGCTTAGAACTAATTTCAAATGCAGATGGTACAATGTAGCAGTGCTTGTGCTAATGGGGGAGGGGGAAGGCCTTTTAATCACAACTGTAATTGACTAATGAGACCTTTTTTTCAACACTTCTTTCAAATTGAGATTGGATTAACACCCCCACCCCCCATTTTTAATGAACAAAATGTTCCACTTAATTAAACTGTAGAGAAACCTTCTAAAAATCACTTCTGCAGCGGCCAAATAACCTTCCAAACCCAACAAATCACAGACATTTGCCAAAAAATGCAACTAGAAGTTGCTACATCATTAGAACAGAACATTGCTGCTTGTGTGCAGTGCAGTGAGAGAGGCAGCCTTTGCTGGCATAGACTGTGTAGATTGCTGTAGGCTGACCTAGAACATTTTGGCCCATAAATGGACATTGGATCATTTTTTTTAAAATTGGGCCCCATATGTGTAGACTTTGGTTCATCCTTCACCATTTAGTGCAGTTTTTCTGTGAGGCAATCAAATTTGGGTGTATATAAAGGGTGCACTGCCCAATTCAGGGGAAATTCTTCGGCAGGCCGAGGCACTCAAAAAGTACCAGTACAGTTTATTTGGAAAAGGGGAGATTGTGTGGCCCAAAAATTTGTGGGATTGTAAAAGAATGGCCCAGAATGAACTCCCTAGATTCAAAGGCTCCCATCCCAGGGCGAAGCATAGAAAATGCCACTGAAAAATTGTCCCAAGAGCCTGAAAAGGTGGAGGTACATTTATGTTATTTGAAAAATTGCCGCTGACAGACTTGGGAACGTTCACTTTTTGGAAGGTGAGTTTGTTTTGGGTGGATAATTAAAATTTCAGTGGTTAACCTACTAAAATTTGAAAATCCATTGAGAGCTGAATGACCCCAGAACACTTAGTTTTTTGCTTGAGAGGCCTGAGGGACTTCGGTTGCCCGCACCGGAGCTGCAAACGTGGTGAATTTTACATTGTCTTCAATGGGGCTTCAATTAGTTCACTGCACCCCTAATCGACTCGCCCCTTGCCGACTCGGCCCCTGACCAACTCGCCCCCCCCAAGTTTGCCAAGCATGTATGGCCGGCCCATTCACCATGATTTAATTTTTTTAGAAATACAATCAGTGGGAGATGGAATTGGTGATTGCTGCCCATAAAAATAGGTTAGGGGGTTTGCAGCGGGCACTCCAAGAGTACAGAATTGTGAAAGTTAAACTGTTGAAAGCTTGATGGATGTTCACTTTCTATTGAATTTGGGGTAAAAATTTTTTTTTTTAATATTGATAAAACTAATTCGGTATTGTCGTGTGTATGAGCCATCTGCCCAGCTGCGACGCGTCCCTTCTGCAGACCTCAGTCACATACATGTACCCAAATATTAATTTGAAGTTGTTGATCCTGAGGGTATGTTGGATGTACATGTACAAATAACCTAATCAGACAGTGGACGTTGGAAGCACTAAGACGTTTGAATAAATAAGTGATTAGTGGTGATGTCCAAATATCCATCACCGTCCGTGAGTCGTTCTTGTCAAGTCGTTGGTTATACCATTCAGGTTTTTTATACACATTGGGCCGGCCATACTTGCCTGACGTTCCTGGGGGCAAGTCGGTCAGGGGGCGAGTCGGCCAAGGGGCGAGTCAGTCAGGGCGAGTTTACGAGGGGGAGAGTTGGTAAGGGGCGAGTCGGTCAGGGGGCGAGTTGACCTGACACCAGAGTAAGGTGAAAACGTTTCTCAAAAATTCTAAAGACTCACCAAAAATACCTTTATCACAACCTACTGGCTTCCGTAAATGCCAACGTCAAACAGTTGAGCTTCAATGATATTTCTGACTTCAAAATCTGACCGTTTTCGCTTGACACACACACAGCACTTAAACTTTTTGCCGCTTCCTCCCATTCAAAATACAGGAGTGTAGAGTTTCTGGCCCAATAACTCTATGGGCAAACATGGTCCTCCCCAACGCATGCATGAGTGGCCCTTATGTGGTCTGGGCACAAGACTTGTTGATCGTGACATTCGGGAGTGCTACCAATGACTGTTTCCTGATCAATCATGTCCATACACTGTATGGTAGGTACGTGACTACGCGCGTCAGTGCACACTGCGTGGTTTGGCTACATTGTTGGTGACCGTGCTCTTGGCTATGCTTTTGCGCTGTAATATTTATCATCAGATACCAGTTGTTCAGGGGCATCATGAGATTATTGTTAAGTGAGCCAAGATAGAGGAAATTATACACTACAAAAAAACAACCTTGTGCTCAAATTTTCACATGCATTATGGCAAAGTTGAGTTTCGTGCGTTTGAACATTTCATTGGACAAAGTTAATGTCATTTTACCCGAAGGTGAGTAAGATTTCAGTTGAAAACATATACAATCTTACCTTTAAATATTTGACTACGATCCCTGAAAATTTGAAGATGATTAAATGGTGCGAACACTTTGTTTTTCAGTCTGGAAAATTGGTTTCTTGCAAAGACATCGGTCAACATGCACACAAACATTGTGGCCACCTTGCACTTTCGTTGAAATCAAAGTGTGGAAATTGCTCCCAGAAAACATGCTAAGGTCATTTGTTGTTTGAGAAAAGAACGTTAAAATGAATCAAAATGTATTTCCTTCACAATAATCCATTGCTTAATTGAAACAAACATTTGCATCAAGCGGATGATTCTGGATTTAATGTAGATTATTTTTGCCCCCAGTTAAGCTTGTAGGCCTACATGTACATTGGGTCACACTAGTTTCTAATTCTGTGTTATCTTTTTTTTTTTTCCAGTTCATATTTGTGTTGTAGGGGTTTTGGGTAATTTCATTCAAGACCATTTACTTATTAAAATATTTTATTGAATTTTTATTCAGTAGGCCTAACTGATTTATATTTATTAAATTTTCTTTTATTTTGGCACACTTTGCGTGTGGTTTTGATCTGCTTCACAGTTCACACAGTCGTGCAATTTGTTGGTGTTTTTCTCTCGCTCTTCCCCCACCCTCCCCTTTTCCCCCGGGTGGTTTTAAATAATTGCTTTATATTTAGGCTATATTATAAACAACTGCTTGTAGTTTTGATGTGCCAGTTAACCACCTTTAGGGGGGGGCTAAAAATGTTATTTTATGTGATGTTTATTTTTTCTTTGTTTCACATTGTTATTTTCAGGTAATTACCAACAATGCCTCATGAGAAGAAACGAAATATTTTTCAAGCAAAGCCTGGCATAGCGTGTCAGTATTTGACTGAAAACTTCAGTTCATTTCCAGAGGGCAGTCTGCAAGTTGGGCACATCCTCTTCTCGTTCGTTACAAATGAACGGTCTTTCGTCAGAACTGTTGAGGTGATCAGAGAAAAGAGTGGTGCATCATTTACATTTTCTACTGCGCAACTGCAGAGCCTTGTACGAACGACACTCAAGAAGTACAAACACTTGTCAGCCATTCCATGGTCACTCGCGTGACATTTGAACAAAATGTTGAGTTTTAATGCATTACTGTTGCTAACATGCCACTTATTCAACTCAAATTAGCAGGTAATTAAGACAAGGCATTGTGAATGTTGTTGTTGTTGTGAGGTTAATGGCACCTTTGGCACTATTGTGCCCTTTGTGCCAACTTCAAATACAGTAGCTGAGTCAAGAAGAAATCTTCCTCACAGTAAAGACATCAGGTTTGAACTTTGAGAACGACGGTTAAGAAGAAAAGAAAGGACAAGTCTGAAAACCCAAGAACTGAGAAATGACTCTGTAAAAAGGAGGCGTGTACTGTAGGATATATAGGAGGAAACCAAATAAAAAAGAGATAATTATACATGCATACATGCAAAAAGAAACTGGACAAGGCTTAGATAAGAAGAGCTACATATGAAATGTGAAAACCGTGTAAGGCAATCAGTAGAGTGACTGGGAAGTGAAGGATGTTATGAGGGTGATATGACATCAACGATCCTCCAGACATGGAGATGCTACAGTGTCCTGCAAGCCAGCTGTCTCCCTTGCAATATAAGAGCCCGTGCTCCGCCGGTATGTTCGCAGCCAGTCGTTTGACGTATGTATCACATCAGAAAGCACGGGCAAATATGGATAAATGTACATGTATGTATGAGCATGCATGTTCATATTAGATGTTACTGTTAGTAGCCTTGATGTATTTCAGTAAGTGGGGAATGGTATATTTTGAGTTTAAAACATTTCTAAGTGTCATTTGATCTGGAGTTAATTTTAACCCTAACCCTCCTCAATCCTTCACCTGTTGGAGGACTGAGGAGTGTAAGGGTTAATGATTTTTGAAGTTTTCCCCTGACACTAACATATTAGTTACAGTTTATGAGAAAATGCTCAGCATTGTCGTACGTGTTGCATGTTTCACAAAATCCGTTCGTGTGTTTACCGATTTTTTTTATAGAAGCTACATGTATTTAGATTTTTACACATATCAAGCCGGAGTCTGTGAATCTGAACTTCTTGCCAGCGTGAGAGGTTCCACGTGTTCATGTTATGGGAAACAATGGGTTGTATTTTAGTATGAAAGAAGCTTTAGAATTATTCCATTCCCGTTGCCACTGTTGCTTGATGCAACTTTTGAGTTGATGTTTAACTTCTGTTATAGAAAGGGGTAGTTTATGGTCAATAATAGTTTTTTAGTACCCTTTTCAGCAATCTGGTCAACTTGTTTGTTTCCTTTAACTTCACAGTGTCCTGGTGTCCATTCAAAAATAACATTGTTAGCCTGATTTTGAATATTAATAAGTGTATGCCGAATATCACAAGTTAATTTGTTTCTTGGGATAGGCCGAGATATAGCTTGTATAGCATTTAGACAATCTGTGAATATACAGGATTGCATAGGCTGGGCATCTTCAATCCATTCAAGGGCCAGTAAAATGGCAAAAAGTTCCGCTGTAAAAATAGAGGCTTCGTTGTTTAAGGGTCCAGTCCACTAATTCAAGCCCCATTGAAAACAGTGTAAAATCAGCACCGTTCAGGGCCCAAT